GTGCCCCTGGTGGTAAACCCTAGGGCCTTTACGCAGCAGCAGCTGGGGGCCCCCCCGTCCATGTCTTTGCATTCCAGCAGCAGCAGCAGCAGCAGCAGCAGCAGCAATGACAGGGACGCCAGCAGCTGCAGCAGCTGCAGCAGCTACAGCAGCTGCAGCAGCTGCAGCAGCTACAGCAGCTGCAGCAGCTGCAGCAGCTACAGCAGCTGCAGCAGCTTCAGCAGAGATCCAAAGAGCAGCGATTTCGAAAACGAAAGCAGCAGCAGCTTCTCAGCAGCAGCAGCTGCTGCAGGGCCTGCTGGCCAGTTAGATGTCCCTGCAGCAAATCCAAGCCCTGCTGCTGCTGCTGCTGCTGCTGCTGCTGCAGGGATAAGCGGCTCAAAAGATGCACAAGAAGCAGCAGCTTCTTGGTTGCGTCCGGCAGACGCAGCAGCAGCAACAGCAGCAGCAGCACAATCACAACTTGCAGCAGCACCTGCAGCAAAACCCCCAGCAGCAGCAGCAGCAGCAGCAGCAGCAGCAGCAGCAGCAGCAGGTGAGTTGGAGGAAGAAGCATTCTTCTCTCCACTAGAAGGGGGAGTCCTTTCTCCTGGAAATTTGTCTCCTTTTTTTTCTGTCTCTTTTCAAGAAGAGACAGTTGGATTTGAAGAAGCAGCAGCTCGGCTGTGCAGCAGCGAGCCGCACAGCATTCTCGAGTCGCAGCAGCAGCAGCAGCAGTTGCTGCAGCAGCAGCAGCAGTTGTTGCTGCAGCAGCAGCAATTGTTGCTGCTGCAGCAGCAGAAGCTGCAGCAGGAGCAGCAACTGCATCAGCAGCAACAGCAGCATCAGCAACAGCAGCAGCAACTGCATGAGCAACAACAGCAGCAGCAATTGCATCAGCAACAGCTGCAGCAGCAACAGCAGCAGCAACAGCAGCAGCAACAGCAGCAGCAACTGCAGCAGCAACTGCAGCAGCAGCAACAGACGCAGCGTCCGCGTACCGACTCGGAAGAAGAGCTCCTCAGGGCCACAGTGCTGCGGCAGCAGCTGCAGCAGCAGCTAAAGGTCTTGATTCAGCAGCAGCAGCAGCAGCAGCAGCAGCAGTCACAACAGGAGCACCAAGCACAAACAGTACAACAACAGCAAGAGGAACAGCAAGAACAGCAGCAGCAGCAGCAGCAGCAGCAGCAGGTGCAGCAACAGCAGGAACAACAGCCATGTCCAGGCACTACAGAGTCTGAAAACCCCCATTACCAATATACCGCAGCAACAGCAGCAGCAGCACCAGCAGCACTTGCAGCAGCTGCAGCAAAACAAACAGCAACAGAACCACTAGCAGCAGCAGCAGAAGCAGCAACAGCAGCACTGTCGCCAGCAGCCTCAGCAGCACAAACAACAATGGAGCCTGCAGCAGCAGCATCGGCAGCAGCAGCAGCAGCAAAAGATGAAACCGCAGAGAGCTCTGGTGGACAAGCAGCAACAGAGGCAGCAGCAGCAGCAGCAGCAGCATTGTCGGTAACAGCAGCAAAAACAAAGGCCGCTGCTGAGAGGACACGAGCAATAGCAGCAGCAGCAACAGCAGCAGCAGCAGCAACAACGCGTAGAGCAACATTGCTTGCTGCAGCTGCATTAGACGAGCCCCGCAGCGGACAAAGCGGAGCAGCAGCAACAGCCGCAGCAGCAGTATCTCCAGCAGCAGCAGCAGCACCAGCAGCACTTGCAGCTGCAGCAGCAGCAGCAGAAACAGAAACAGCAGCACCTGAGGCATCTGCTGCAGCAGCAAAAGCAGCCGCGGCTAAAGAAGAAGTGGCAGCATTGAAAACAGCTGACAACCCTAAAGAAGCACCTGGAGGAGCAGCAGCAGCAGAAGCCGCAGCAGCAGCAGCAACAGCAGCAGCAACAACAGCAGCAGCAGCAACGCCAATAACAGAAACAGCAAAGGCTAGTGTTGAGGCACGAGCTGCAGCAGATGCAACAGCAGCTGCAGCTGCAGCAAACGATAATCACAGCGAGTTTTCTGATGGAGCAGCAGCACTAGAAAAAGCAAACGAAGCAGCAGCAGCAGCAGCAGCAGCAGCAGCAGCAACAGCAGCAGAAGCAGCTGCAGCAGGGGGAACTCACGCTGGGCAACTGCTGCCTCAGGGCTCAACTGCAGCACCGGCAGCAGAAACGCCAGGGGAAACAGCAGCAGCTGCAGCAGAAGCAGCAGCAGCTGCAGCAGAAGCAGCAGCAGCAGCACCAGATCTTCACGAAGAGCAAAAGGGAGCAGCAGAGGCAGCAGCTGAAGAAGGAGAGCCAGCAGCAACAGAACCAGCACCCATTGCAACAGCGGCAGCAGCAGCAGCAGCAGCAGCAGCAGCAGCAGCAGAAGCAGCAGCAGCAAGGGCATTTCTCGCTGCAGAAGTCCCAGAAGCACCAGAAGATGCTCAAGATGCACAAACAACAGATTCAGCAGCAGCAGCAACTGCAGCAGCAGCAGGATCAGCAGGGGCAAAGGAAGACGCAGCATTAGCTGCAGCACATGCTGATGCAGAGGGAGCAGCAGCAGAAGCAGCAGCAGCAGCAGCAGCAGCAGCAGCAGCAGCAGCGGACGCAGCTGCAGCAGCGAATAACAGCGATTCTCTCTTACTAGCCGAGCAAACAGCATCACCAGCACTGGCGCTGGCAGCAGCCGCAACAGCAGCAGCAGCAGAAGCAGCAGAAGCAGCGGAGAAAACAGCTGCAGAAGCAGCAACAGAAGCAGTAACAGAAGCAGCAGCAGGAGCAGCAGAAGAAGCAGCAGAAGAAGCAGCAGCAGAAGCAGCAGAAGAAGCAGCAGCAGAAGCAGCAGAAGAAGCAGCAGCAGAAGCAGCAGCAGAAACAGCCTCAGCAGCTGAGCTCACAACAACAGCAAACGCTCAAGGCCAACTAAATGAAGAAGCAAAAGAAGCAGCAGCAGCAGCAGCAGCAGCAGAACCTGCTGCAGCTGCTTCTGATGCAGAGGATGCAGCAGCAAACACAGATCTCGAATCAGCACCGGAAGAAAATGACGAAATCCTTAAAGCAGCAGCAGCAGCAGCAGCAGCAGCAGCAGAGGCGGCAGCAGGTGGTGCCCAGGCAGCAGCAGAAACTCCAGACGCAACAGACACAGAAGAAAAAGAGAATAAACAAAAGCAGGAAGCAAATGCAGCACATGCTGCTGCAGCAGCAGCAGCAGCAGCAGCAGCGGCAACAGCAACAGCAGCGGAAGCGGAAGCAGTGCCGGCGCCAGCTGAAGCCTCTGCAGCATCGCCACCCACAGTTGCCGCAGCAGCACCTGCTGCTGCTGCTGCAGCTGCTGCTGCAGCAGCTGCAACAGAAACCCAAAAAGAGCAACAGCTAGCTGAAAAATCCGCAGCTGCAGCAGCAGTACCTGGAGCAGCAGCAGCAGCAGCAGCAGCATCGGCAGCAGCAGCCGCAGCAATAAAGAGTGGAGTGGTGAATGCAAGTAGAAGGGCAACGGTCCTTAAAGGGGAGGCAGCAGCAGCCACTGCAGCAGCGGGAGCAGCAGCAGCAGCAGCTGCAGCAGCTGCTGCTGCTGCCGATGTGCAAGCTGTAGCAGCATCTGCAGCAGCAGCAAAAGCAAAGGCATCAAAGGACGAAGCAATCAACATAGCAGCTGCAGCGGAAGCAACTGCAGCAGAGGCAGCAGCAACTGCTGCACACAGGGAAGCAGCAACAACAGCAGTTACGGCAGCAGCAGCAGCAGTTGAAAAGTGCAGTCGTACCGCAAGCATTACAGCAGCAGAAGCTGCTGCTGCAGCTGCCAAGGCAGCAGCTGCAGCAGCAGCTGCTGCAGCAGCAAAGGCGAGACAGGCAGAGACAGAAGCAATTGATATAGCTGCTACCGCAGAAGCAACAGCAGCAGCTGTTGAAGAAGATGCCACTGCAGCAACTGCACCAACTGCAGCAACAGCAGCAGCAGCAGCAGCAGCAGCAGCTGAAGTAATACCCTTAGAGGACAGAGAGGCAGCAGCAGAAAGGCAGCCAGCAGCAGCAGATGACGAAACTGAGGATGCCGTCGCAGAAGCAGCAGAAGCAGCAAATGCAAGGGCAGCAGAGGCAGCAGAAGCAGCAGCAGCAGCAAGTGCTGCAGCACAGGCAGCCGCAGCAACAGCTGCAGCGGCAAATGACGAGGCAGCTGCGAATGAAGCAGCAGAAGAGGCTGCTGCTGAAGCGGATGCTGCTTCTGCTGCTGCAGCAACAGAAGCAGAAACATCACAGGCTAATGTATCTGAATGCCTAAGTGCAGCAGAGGAGGCAGAAGAAGAGCCGACAGCAGCAACAGCAGCAGCAGCAGCAGCAGCAGCAGCAGCAGCAGCAGCAGAAGCAGCGGCGGATGTACCTACTGAAGGTACAGTGGCGCATAGGATGCCAGAAGAATCAGAGAGTAATGAGCAAGAGCGAACTGCTGCAGCAGCAACAGCAGCAGCAGAAGCAGCAGCAGAAGCAGCAGCAGAAGCAGCAGCAGAAGCAGAAGCAGCAGCAGATGCAGAAGCAACAGCAGATGTGCCTGCTGAAGGTACAATGGCGCACCTAATGCCACAAGCAACAGAGAGGACTGAGAAAGAACGAACTGCAGCAGCAGCAGCAGCAGCAGCAGCAGCAGCAGCAGCAGCAGCAGCAGAACCAGAAGCAGCGGCAACAGCATCTGCTGCTGACGCTGCAGCAACAGCAGCAGATGCTGCAGGCGCTGAGATAGAAGAAGCGGATCCGCAGGAAAATGGCTCAGTTGACTCCGAAGTTGCTGCTGCAGCAGCAGCAGCAGCAGCAACGAGCAGTAGGCCTGAAGACGAAAAAGAAGCAGCAGAGTCATCAGCAGAAGCAGCAGAAGCAGCAGCAGCAGCAGAAGCAGCAGAAGCAGAAGCAGAAGAAGCAGAATCAGAAGCAGCAGACGCAACAGAATCGACAGAATCAGAGGCAGCAGAGGCAGCAGCAGCAGCAGAAGCAGCAGGAGCGGAGGAAGCAGCAGAAGCAGCAGAAGCAGCAGAGGCAGCTGCGCAAGCAACAGAAACAGCAGCAGCAGCAGAAGCAGCAGAGACAGCAGCAGCAGCAGCAGCTGCACGAGCAACAGAAGCAGCAATCGCACAAGAAGCAGCAGAAGCAGCAGAAGCAGCAGAAATGGTGGAAGCAGCAACAGCAGAGGATATAGCGGAAGCAGCAGAAGCAGAAGCAGCAGCAGCGGCAGCAGCAGCAGCAGCAAAAGGACAAAAAGCAGCGGAGACTGTATCTGACAACGGAGAAGCCCAAGCAAGAGCAGCAGCAGCACCAGTGGCAAGAGCATCAACATCAGCAGCAGCAAAAACAGCGGAAAAGTTAGCAGCAGCAGCAGCTGCTGCTGCTGCTGCAGCAATGGCCGCAGCAGATGCGCGCCTGCGTGAAGCAGCAAAAGCCCAAAAAGAGACGGGAGAAACAGCAGAAATCGCAGCAGCAGCAACGGCAGGAGCAACGGCAGCAACAGCAGCAACAGCAACAGCAGCAACAGCAGCAACAGCAGCAACAGCAGCAACAGCAGCAACAGCAGCAGCAGCAGCAGCAGCAGCAGAAACAACAGCAGCAGCAACAGCAGCAGCAACAGCAGCAACAGAGCCAAGTCAAAATGAGGAAGAAAGCCTGGCCTCTGTGCTCTCTGTGAAGGAGACGATCAAACGTGGAGACAGTGCAGCAGCAGCAGCAGCAGCAGCAGCAGCAGCAGCAGCGACAGCACCGGACCCGGCAGCTTCAGCAGCAGAAGCTGTTGAGGCAAGTTTGCAGCTGGTGTCTTCTGCTGCTGAAGCAACTATTGGAGCGCGGCGGCGGGTCTCCGAGGCAGCAGCACGTGCTGCTGCTTGTGCTGCTGCTGCTGCTGATAAGTTCAGGGAGACAGCAGCAGCAGCGCAGCAATGCAAGGTCACGGAGCAACGCTGTGCTGCTGCAGAAGAGGCCGCAGCAGCTGCTGCAGCACAGACAGCAGCTGCAGCAGAGGAATCTGCTGCGCTGCTGCTGCAAACCACAGAAGCTGAGAACAAGGTGCAGCAGCTTGCTGCTGCAGCTGCTGCTTCGCTTCGGGAGGCTGAAGAAGCAGCAGTTGCTGCAGGCGCTGCCGCAACAGATGCGCAGCAGCAGCAGCAGCAGACGCATGCATGCAAAGAAGCAGCAGAGGCAGCAGCAAAGGGGGCCGGCGATGCTGCTGCAGAAGCTTCTCGTTTGCTGGAAGAGACGCAGCAGCAACAAAGTGCTGCAGCTGCAACAGCAAAGGAGGTACAGGCAGCGGCTGCAGCAGCAGCTGCAGCAGCGACAGCAGCAAGAGCTTCAGCAGCAGCAGCCAAGCAGGAGGAGGCGCTGCTAAAGGAGATTGCTTCTTCAGCAGCAGCTGCTGCTGCAGAGGTGCAGCAGCATGCAGCTTCTGCCCGTCAGCACGCGGAGTCTGCAGCAGCAGCAGAGTCCGCAGCAGCAGCAGCAGCAGCAAAAGAAGCAGCTAGTACTGCTGCGCTGCGGCTGCAGCAAACAACAGATGATGCCATTGCAATTCAAGCTAAATCCGCGGAGACGCAGGAAGCAGCAGCAGCTGCTTCCAATTCTGCTGCTGCAGCAGCGCATCACTTAAGAGTCTGTGCTGCTGCGGCGAAGAGCTCGCAGCGCTTTGAAAAGGATGCTGCTGCTGCTGCTGCTACGGCGGAGCAGCAGCAGCAGAATGCAGCAGCAGCAGCAAACGACATCGAAACGCACAGGCAGCAGGCTGCTGCTCACTCTGCAGCAGCACAGAAGCACTCGAGCAGTGCTGCTGCCGGGGCAGAAGCAGCGACGCAGCATGTAGCAGCAGCAGCAGCAGCAGCTGCTGCTGCTGCTGGGAAGTGCCAGCAAGCTGAGGAATCGCAGGAGCTGGCGAAGACAGCAGCAGCAGCAGCGCAGGAAGCGCTTGATGCTGCCAAGGAGCTTGTGTCTGCCGTTGAGCAGCAGCATGCTGCTGCAGTTGCTGCTGCTGCTGCTGCTGCTGCTGCAGCAAGAGCCACGCAGCAGCAAGAAGAGTGCATCAGCTTAGCGGCTGCAGCAGCGGCAGAAGCAGCAGCGCAGCTGCAGCAGCAAGCCAAGAATGGCGCGGAAGCACAATGGGTGTCTGCTACCTCTGCTGAAATGGAGGCCCAAAAAGCAGCAGCAGAAGCTGCTGCTGCTGCTGCTGCTGCTGCGCAGCAGCAGCAGCAGCAGCAGGCACAGGAAGCAACAGATGCCGCGAAGAAGACAGAAGAGGCAGCTAAGCAAGGAGATGCTGGCGGTGCAGCTGCTGCTGCAACTGCTGCTGCAGTTCCTGCTGCAGCTGCTGCTGCACTTAGTACGGGGCAGCAGCTTGCTCCTGCCGATGCTGCTGCTGCCGCTGCTGCTGCTGCTGCTCAAAGAGGCCAACCGCGACAGGACATGGAGGAGACTCTAGCAGCAGCAGCAGCAGCAGTTGCTGCCACTTCTGCTCAAACGCAGCAGCACCGAGAAGCAGCTGCAGCACATGCTGAAGCAGCACAAAAGTACAAAGAGACAGCAGCACACACAGCAGCAGAGTTGCAGCAGCAAGTTCAGGAAGCAGCAGCAGAAATACGCGAGTGGGAGTCCGCAGCTGCTGCTGAAGTGCAGGCCCTGAAGCAAGCAACAGCAGCTGCTGCTGCTGCCGCCGCTGCTGCTGCACAACAGCAGCAGCAAGCGATTGAAGCAGCAGACCGTGCTAATAAAGCTGCTGCTGCAGCACAGGAAGCTGCTGCAGCTGCAGCTGGATCTGCAGCCGACATGGAGCAGCAACGCCTTGCAGCAAATGCAGCAACTGCTCCTGCTGCTGCTGTTGCTGGAGCGGCTGCTGCTGCTGCAGGCGCCGCAGACGCTGCTGATGAAGAGAAAAGGGAGAAGCAGCTGCAGCAGCTGCAGCAGCTGCAGCAGCTTGCTGTAGAGGCAGCCGCAGCTGCAGCAGACACGCAGCAGCAAAGGGCCACAGCAGAGTCCGATGCAGCAGCAGCCCAGCAGCACAAGGAAGCAGCAGCAGAATGTGCTGCTGCAGCAGAGTCTGCAGCCATGAGGTGTATGGCCACTGCAGCACAGCTGCGAAGGCTAATTGACGGAGCAGCAGCAGCTGCTGCTTCCGACAGGCTGCTTCTGCAGCAGTCTTTCAAAGCAGCAGTAGCAGCTGCAGCACAGTCGCAGCAGCAGGTGGAGGCGCTTCGCGCAGCAGCAGCAGCAGCAGCAGCAGAAGTCATCAGCCACAGAAACGCCTCAGCTGCAGCACAGGAGGAGGCTCTGACTGCAGCGGCAACAGCAGCAGACGCAGCGGCTGCTGCTGCTGCTGCTGCTGGTGCAGTCCAAACAGCAGGCCGCATAGCGTCGCGAGGGGCAGCAGCAGCAACTGTTGCTGCTGCTGCTTCTCTCGAGGCCTCTGAGCAAGCCAAAGAATCCGCAGCCACAGCAGCAGAAACAGCAGCAGCAGCAGCAAATGCAGCAGCAGCGGATGCGGAGCGCGACAAAAACGCTTCCTGCGCAGCAGCAGTGGCGGCAGCAGAAGCAGCAGCAGCTGCTGCTGCAGAGAGAGCCTCTGCAGCCGAGGCAGCAGCAGCAGCAGCAGCAGCACAGGCAGCCAGAAGCGAAGAGGCCTGCGTCACTGCAGCACAAGGGGCCCTTGCTTCTGTTGCAGCAGCAGAAACAGCAGTAAGAGCTGAAAGGGTAGCAGCAGAATACAGCAGCACTGCTGTTGCAGCAGCAGGTCTCAGCACTAGGGGGCCCCTGACGCTGCAGTCCAGCATGGGGCCCCCAACCGTGGGGGGCCCCCTAGGGGGGCCCCCCGAAGAGGCAGCAGCTTACAGGGGGCCCCCAACAGAGAAGTTCTTGTTGGGTGAGGATGAGCCTAGCAGCAGCGTGCAAGAACCATTTGCTGCTGCTGCTGCTGCTGCTGCTGCTGCTGCTGTTGGGGGCTGCGCAGAAGCAGAGCCGCCCTCTGTTGTTGCTTCTGACCAGCGGAATGGCCGGAGAGGCATCAGCAGCAGCAGCAGCAGCAGCAGCAACAGCAGCAAAGGCCGCAGCAGCAGCAACGGCAGCAGCCGTTGCAGCCGCTTTGCTGCTCTCTCGACGGAGCCAAGCGGATGTGAAACAGCAGAAAATGCGCCAAGCCCGCGACCGCATGCAGGCAGCAGCAGCAGCAGCAGCAGCAGCAGCAGCAACGGGAGCAGCAGGTGCAACAAGAGCGGTAGCAGCAACACAAACAACAGCAGCAACAGCAGCAGCAGCCAGAGCAGCAGCAGCCACAGCAGCACAACAGGACTGCACGTGGTGAGGCGAAGGAACTCTGCAAGTTCTCAGCAAAATGATGCGCCTGCTGCTGCTGCTGCTGCTGCCGATGCTGCTGCTGCTGCCGACACTGCTGCCGCTGCTCCTGCTGCGCTTTCCACACTGCGAGCCCCGCGTGGTCCTAGGAACACAAGTGCTGCAAAAAGCAGCAGCAGCAGCAGCAGCAGCAGCAGTAGTAGTAGCAGCAGCAGTAGATGGACTTCACAGCGCTCAATGCGAAACAACGAAAGCAGCGGCAAGGAGCAGCACGGAGCCGCCACAGTAAAGTGCAGCAGCAGCAGCAGCAGCAGCAGGGCCAGCGCGCCCTCTGCGCTGCAGCAGCCGCAACAGCATCCGCAGCAACAGCGTCAGCAGCAACGGCAGCAGCAGGTGCAGCAGCAGGTGCAGCAGCAGCAGCAGCAGCAGCACGTGCAGCAGCAGCAGCAGCAGCAGCAACAGCATGTGGAGCAGCAGCAGCAGCACGTGCACCAACAGCAGCAGCAGCAGCAGCACGTGCAGCAGCAGCAGCAGAAGCACTTGCAGCAGCAGCAGCAGCAGCAGCACGTGCAGCAGCACGTGCAGCAACAGCAGCAGCAAAATGCAACAAGAGGGGCGGGCTCGTCTAGTCGCTTCAGCGAACATACCCTGGGGGCCCCCCGTGCAGCTGCCAGAGGCCCCTCTTACCTGGGGCCCCCCGGGGCCCCCCGGGGCCGTAAGGCCCTTGAAGCAGCAGCAGCAGCAGCAGCAGCAGAAGAGAAGCAAAGGAGGCATGAAAGGCGCACGAACCTTCTTGTGCACTCGAAAGTGTGTGCATGCACCTAAGTGTTGTCTGCTGCTGCTGCTGCTGCTGCTGCTGCTGCTGCGGCTGCATTGGCCTGTCGCTGCTGCCTGCTGCTCCTGCTGCGTCCTACTGCTGCTCCGTGCTGCTGCTGCTGCTGCTGCTGCTGCTGCCGCAACTTTCTCTTGAGTTTTGTGCACACGAAGCCCTCGCAAAGGATCTTAATTTGCTTTCCCTTTGTAGAAACGTGTATGGCGTTGACGAGGCCTATGGGCCTGTTCCTGCTGCTGCTGCTGCTGCTGCTGCTGCTGCTGCTGCTAGGCCATCTGCTGCTACTCTTGTTTCTGCTGCCGTTACAAGTACCTTCTTCTGCTGTTGCTTGTGGGGACTTTTGATGCCCCTGTTGTGCCTGTGCAGCCATTTGCTGCTGCTGTTTCTGTGGATACTGTTTGATGGTTGTGCTGCTGCACTGAAACGAGTGGAAGCCTGCTGCTGCTGCTGCTGCTGCTGCTGCTGCGTTTTGTTGCTGTCTGCAGCTGCTGCGGCAGCAAGCTGCTCTGGCTGAGGCATCTGCTGCTGTGTCGCGGCGGCTGGAGGCCAACACCCGCGAAGTGGCTTCAATAAAGGTATGCAAAAGTGCAGCAGCAGCAGCAGCAGCAGCAGCAGCAGCAGCAGCAGCAGCAGCAGCAGCAGCAGAAACCACCACTAAAGCAGCAGCAAACCCAAACAAGAAGGCCAAACAGAAAGAGGACATAATTGTGAATCAGCAATAAAAGTAGAGACACAAAAAGGGCCAAGAGAGGCAGCAAACACAAAGCCACGGGGGCCCCCAGGGGGCCCCTCGCCTCCCAATTGGGCCCTTGGGGGCCCCCGGGGGCCCCCCACCTTCTTAGTAGGTCCTGGGGGCCCCAGAGCTGGCTGAGGGGCCCCCAGGGCCCCCAGGGGGCTGGCCTTTCTGGAGTGATTGTTAGTTAGGCAGCAGCAAAAGGAAAAGGAGAAAAAGAATTGAAAAGAAATACTTTTGTTTCGGAAAAAGAGTTTAAAAGAATTAATTTGTTTCTTTTTTGCTGCAGAGAACTGTGCAGTCTTTGCTGCGGTCAACTGCAACCTTCAGGGCCCCTGCTGTGGGGCCCCTGCGTCTTGGGGCCCCCAGAGAAGCTGCTGCTAGGGGCTGCACAGCATGCAGCAGCAGCAGCAGCAGCAGCAGCAGCAGCAGCAGCAGCAGCAGCAAGGGCAGCAGCCACAGGAGGCGCCATCGAGAGGCGGAGGAAGACTTCTCGGGTGGTGAGTGGGGCTTCTGCTGCTGCTTCTAGGAGACACTGCTAGTTCGAGCTTTTTGCTGCTGCCACTTTGCTGCTGCTACTTCGCTGCTGCTGCTTTGCTTCTGCTGCTTTGTTGCTGCGGCCTTGCTGCTGCTTCGATTGCTGTTGCTTTGGAACTGTTTTGCTGCTGCTGCTGTCACCCTGCTCCCTTTATTCCTGCGCCTGCATCGCCGCTGCTGCTAATGTGGCTGCGTGTATTAAATGTGCTGCTGCTGCTGCTGCTGCTGCTGCTGCTGCTGCTGCTGCTGCTGCTGTGCAATTTGTTCTGAAGAGGAGCCAGACGACAGCACTGCCATATATTTGCCGCCCTTGACGAGGGCCCTTTTCTTGGGGTCTACGATGGGCCCCAGCACTTTGGGGCCCCGCGAGCTGCAGCAGCAGCAGCTGCAGCAGCAGCATTTGCGGCAGCAGCAGCAACAGCAGCGGCAGCAGCAACAGAACCGTTTAGATGGCGTCAAAGCGGCCCCCTTCCAAGCTGCTGAGGTCTGGAAAGGCGCAGCTCAGAGCCCGCCAACACCAGCAGCAGCATCGCATGCTGCTGCTGCTGCTGCTGCTGGCGCGGCTGCTGCAGCAGCAGCAGCAGCTGCTGCTGCTGCGTCCCCTTTGGGCAGCTCAAGTGAGCCTTCTAGTGTCTCTTGCTCTGTACCCGACGAAGGTGACCCAACAACTGAAGTTGATGCAGGGAATGTGGATTACCCCAGAGCAGCAGCAGCAGCAGCAGCAGCAGCAGCTGGAGCAGCAGCAGCACCTTCAGCAGCAACCGCGGCACTCGCCCCAGCAGCAGCTGCTGCCGGCTCCTACTCCCCCTCTTCGCAGTGGAAGCAGCTCAGCAGCAGCAGCAGCAGCGCAGCCGTGCACGAGCAGCGGGGGCAAGCAAGAGCTGCTGCTGCTGCTGCTGCTGCAGCTGCAGCAGAGGCCGCCGCTGCAGCGGGTGTCGCTGCAACAGCAGCTCTGACCCAGCAGCAGCTGCTGCAGCAGCAGCAGCAGCAGCAGCAGCAAGTCTATCAACTTGCTTCTACACTGGCTGCGGGGCGGCACCGCCACCACCACCACCACCACCACCACCACAGCAGCCACCACACCTCCCAGCAGCAGCAGCAGCAGCAGCAGCAGCAGCAGCAGCAGCAGCAGCAGCTGGTGCGTCCAGCAAGCAGTGTGGGGCCCCTCAGCCTGCGCGTTTTAGCTGCTCTGTCTGTACCCCCCACAGCAGCATCTGAGGCGCCGCTGCTGCAGCCCTTTTGAGGTGTACGTACACCTGAAAACCGCGAAAAACAAAAATATCAAAAACAAAAACGGCCCCAAAAGAAGCAACGCATGCAGTGCATGCAAGTGAAAATAGAAAAGAAATAAGCACTTAAAAGGCTGTTTTTAATTTAAATAAATTTTAAACAAAAAAGGGATTTGCGGGGCCCTTTCTGGTGTACCAACACCTGTAGCGCCTCTAAACCCTAAACCCTAAACCCTAAACCCTAGCTAGTGCCTCGTTCCTGCTGCCCCACTCGTGGTAAACCCTAGACCCTAAACCCTAAACCCTCGAGAACCTGAGTCGCCAAGGCTCATCTGGCGTCGAAGGAGCAAACCAGAAGTGAACAAAAGGGCTCGTAGAACTCGCCTAAACCCTAAACCCTAAACCCTAAACCCTAAGCCTTCAAGCCCATAAAACCCTAAACACCCCAAGGCGTAACACTAAACCCTAAACCCTCGATTTTCTTCGTCAAAGTCCTATTCTTCCTACTTGCTGCAAGGCAACTGAGACGCCCTAAACCCTAAACCCTCGCCAGTTTAAACCCTAGGCCCTACACAGCCCAAACCCTAGACCCTCCAGATCGTAAGCACCAAACCCTAAACCCTGCAAGCACGCGCCAAACCCTAATTTCCCAGCGCCGCTCAAACCCTCAAACTTGAAATTAAAACCCTAGTCCTTTAAGTGGCGGCTGGGGAGTGTAAACCCTAGAAGCGCGGTTTCAGTGTGCTGTGGGCGGTTTGTTTCGAGTCACCCAGCGCGCAAACCCTAAACCCTAAACCCTAAACCCTCGAAGCTGTGGCCGCATTCCCCGGGTTTCGCCGGCTTATTTTTGGAAATTGGATTAGTTTAGTTTGAATAAATTAAATGTGCGGATTTCAGTGGGGTTGTTTTAGAAGACCTGCGGTGGTTGGGGGGCGGGGTTGCATGCGGGGAGGAGCGTTCTTTGCGGAGCGGGGTGTGTTTCGGCGCAAATTGGCTCAAAAAGGGTCTAAAAAAATCGGAATTGCAAAATAAATGCAATTAAAGTGGAAAAAAATTGAAATTGGGGAGTTGGGAGGGCCGAACAGCCCCAGAGGGCAGCCGGGAAGGCCAGCGCCGGCGGCGGGGTCATGTTTGCCCCACAGCGGCTCAGTGTGGAGGAAAGGGGTTTGTGTAAATTTGTGTTTTTGTTTCAAAGTGAAGAGCCGAATTCGTCGAGGGTTTGGGGTTTGGGGTTTAGGGTTTAGGGTTTAGGGTTTAGGCTTTAGGGTTTGGAGGCGCAGAGCAGCCGCGCGCCTCCAGGCCCCTCGTGTGCTTCTGCGCTTGCCGCCTCTTCTCGGCGGTCCACGACTTGGAGCTCCGAGTCCGGAGTTCGGGATTTAGGGTTAGGGTTTAGGGTTTAGGGTTTAGGGTTTAGGGTTTAGGGTTTGCGGAGATGGCGCAGTCGGGGCAGCAAACCCCGCTCTCCCCCGAGGAGGCCGCAGGCCTCAAAATGAAGTACCTCGTCGTCACCGGCGGCACCATGAGCGGCCTCGGAAAAGGCACCACAATCAGCAGCATAGGTACTCCCCCTGCTGCTGCTGCTGCTGCTGCTGCTGCTGCTGCTGCTTCTCCTCCTGCTGCTCCTCCTCCTGCTGCTCTGCTGCTGCTGCAGCTGCAGCAGCAGCAGCAGCAGCTGCTGCTGCTGCTTCCTCCCCCAACCCCTCCTCCCCCCTCC